ACACACAGCAACTCAAAAGAAAAAAAGCATTAAAATCATAAGTACATGTAATCCCAGTACATGTGTGTTCAGTTGTCGGTGTTTTAACCTGGATTTAAACATTGTCGGAGAAGAAGCTTGTCTCACATTTGCCTCACCAGATTTTAACTGCACAAATAAATTGAATACATTTTGTGGCAGTTCCAAGATATTCTTTACTTTCTCAAAGTGGGAGCTCTTTACACAATCAAATGAACAAATGATCTGTTTCTCAGATAATAGCACAACCTATAATTTGTATAAAGTTTTTTTCTCAACTGTGGAAAAAAAACATACACATTTATAAGAAAATAATACCTTGTCTTGTTTATGTGCATTGCTCAGTAGTTAGAATAACGACTGACCACATACATTTATGTGTGTCTTTCTCAATGTCCCTTTTCTCTTTTCTCATCAAAAACAACATTTTGAGGGCTGGCAACAATGATGACCAAAATAATAAGGTTTAATATGGACAACTACAAAAATCAATCAAATATAATTGCATACTTTATGAATGTATTAACACAGCTATTTTCCCATTCTATGTTCACTGTTGCTATGACAAACGTTTCCATGGCAACCGCATTCTGGTGTGTGGCTTTGTGATGTCATCAGCAGAACATGCAGAGATTAGGTGGCCCCAGAGATTGTCTGCGTCCACATAAGGGGGCAAGTATTTGACTCCAGCAAACACAGAGGACACAGAGCCACAGGCAAACTCACCGCACACGACAGAGAAAAATAATCTTTTAAAGAAGCAAGATGGGAAAAAACTCTAAAAAGAGAAAAAACCAGAAACCCAGTATGGTAGACAGACCCTATGTGTCAAATCATGAGCAGAACATGGAGGCTCCAGTAACACAGGCCTTACCACCAATTCCTGAGACTGAAGTAATTGACCCTTCAAGTGAACTTCCAACATCTGTAGGTAAAAATAGGAGGAAGAAGGAAACTGTACGGTTACAAAGTCTTCTCATCCAAATGGAGCCAGGCCGAAGAGAGAATCTGACCAATGACGAGAAAGCTCAGGAACTTTCAACTTCTGGGCCTGAAGTAACAAAACCAAGTGTTCGCTTCTATGCGGATATCCCGGATGAGTCAGAGCAGTTTAATGGGCCTTCAGTGAGACCTAAAAAGACAAGTTCGATAAAGGCACTAGATCGCTTCTTCTCCCGTATGCCAGATGAAGAACTAGATATTGATTACTATTGTAGGCCTTTGAAAAACTACACTAATGAGAAAACAACAAATGTTCAGACAGCTACAACATTCCAGGCTCCAACACCAAAGCCTTTGCCAATGAAGACGACTGCCTCTTCCAACACTGACCAGGTCAAGGAGGCACCAGTCTTTGACAAAAAACCTCAAGAAGACCCAAGGATTATTGAGCAGACCCGCCCTGCCTACAGGAACAACAGGGAATATGAAAATGTTCCAAGAGTTTCTGAGCCAACCAATCACCCTGCTGATTTCAAGAAAAGTTACAGTCAAGCTGTATCCACTCCCAGACGCCTGGTCACAGAAGAAAGATGTGATCCAAAGCCTCTGCAGGAGACAAGTCCTTCCACAAGCTCAATGACTGTATTGAGGAATGATGAGGAGGCAAGTGAGGAATTCTGGAGAAGGCCTCAAAGTAGCAAAATGGAAAAAAACTCTAAGAAGAGAAGAAACCAGAAATTATCTCCAGGTATGGTAGAAAGACCATATGTGACAAATCATGAGCTGGCTGCAAAAGCTGAAAATTCTGACTCTGAATCTGCAAAACCAGCTGATTCTGAAACAAAAGAGAGTAAGTATGATGCAGGAAAAGACATTTGGTATAAAAGGCCGACTCAGCAGAACATGGAGGCTCCAGTAACACAGGCCTTATCACCAATTCCTGAGACTGAAGTAATTGACCCTTCAAGTGAACTTCCAACATCTGTAGGTAAAAATAGGAGGAAAAAGGAAACTGTACGGTTACAAAGTCTTCTCATCCAAATGGAGCCAGGCAGAAAAGAGACTCTGACCAATGACGTGAAAGCTCAGAAACCTTCAACTTCTGGGCCTGAAGTCACAAAACCAAGTGTTCGTTTCTATGCCGATATCCCGGATGAGTCAGAGGAGTTTAATGGTCCTTCAGTGAGACCTAAAAAGACAAGTTCGATAAAGGCACTAGATCGCTTCTTCTCCCGTATGCCAGATGAAGAGCTAGATATTGATTACTATTGTAGGCCTTTGAAAAACTACACTAATGAGAAAGAAACAAATGTTCTGACAGCTACAACATTCCAGGCTCCAACACCAAAGCCTATGCAGGAGACAGGTCCTTCCACAAGGTCAACGCCTGAATTGTGGGATGATGAGGAGGCAAGTGAGGATTTCTGGAGAAGGCCTCTGGAATTTTATTCAACAAGTCTAACAAACATAGAGAATTGGAAAGCCTCGGCTGAAACACTGGAGGCGCATTTTGGACCGTCCACTGCCACCGACGAGACAGTGGAAGTGACTGGTCATTCTATAATGGCTGATGATGAATTTGAGGATTTTGATGAGACCTGTATTAGACCTTTAGAGTTTTACAAAACAGGCATGTCCAGACTGGACATGAGTGCCACCTACCACTCTTCCAACTGGAAATGTGCTATATAAGGACCGCAATCTCCGGTCTGATACTGTGATGCCATCTGCAGAACATACACATCTTAAACGTAGGTAAACAAAGAGAGATACATAATTGTGACTTTTGCACAGAGCTATAAGCTTTGTGCTAAAGTCAAAGAGTTACTGGGAAACTCAAACCACACACCAATCTTTCAAAGGAGCAAGATGGGAAAAAACTCAAAAAAGAGAAAATATCACAAATCATCTCATGATGAACAGACCTTATGTGGCAAATCATGAGCTGCAAAAACTGCAAATTCTCTGTGTTCAGCTGTTGTTTCAGAAACAGTTTTAGAAGTATTGGAAATATGAGGCAGGAAAGTCAGTTATACCGACTAAGTAGTCGGTATAACTGGCCATTCGTTGCCTCATCACCAATTTTGGCACAAAAGGCCAGGTACATCGACTGAGTAGTCGGTATAACTGGCCATTTGTGGAAAGCAACAATTGTTCGGACAGCAACAATATCCCAGGCACCAAGCCTCTGCCAATGAAGGAAATTTCCCTTTCAAACACTCAAACGGTCTAGGTGGCTCCCGTCTGACAATAAACTTTAGGAAAACAAGCAGATTCCATTTACACAGGCCTTATCACCAATCCCTGAGACAGTGCGTGAAAGAGACAAATCGGATAAGTCTCTAACAGCTCGAATGTCAATTCCTTAACATTTGACTCTTCAAGTGAGCTCCCAACTCCTAAAAGTAGAAACAGGAGAAAAATGTTAACTTTACGGCTACAAACTCCTCTCATACAACAGGTGGCAAGCAGAAGAGTGACTGAGACGAGGCAGCTCAGGAATCTTCAACTTCTGGTCCTGAAGTCACAAAATCCAGAGTTCACTTCCATGGTGGGCTCTGTTGCCCCATGTATAAATGGCCATGTGTTGCTTGAAGCCGACTTCAAAGATGGCTCCTGTCTTGGACAAAAAACTTCAAGAGGACTCCAGGGTTATTGGGCTACAGAGTTATGAGTGCAGCTTACCACTCTCCCAACTGGAATTGTGCTACAGAAGGACCACTGCAGTTTAAACGGCATCAAAAAATAAATAAAAATGTTATAAAAAATGCATGGTTGGATTAGCATGTGTGGTGCATAAATAAGTGAATATGAGGGACTGACACAACTTTTATCATTTCTATTGTTCAAAGTGTCAATCTATTTAGTTGTATTTGGGTCTAAATATTGTTCAAAACACTCACAAATAAAATAGAAGCAGGTGGATTGTTTTAAAAAAAGATTACTGAGCACAGCTTACACAAACATGGGTAATGTCACAGGTAAGTCACTATAACAGCCTTGTAGATTCTAAATAAACAATAAATAAATAATATACTGTGAATAAGACCAGGCTAAATCCCTGTTACTCCCTGTTTAGGGAACGTGCATTAGTCCAGTGTGTCAGGATTACGCTACATTAACATGAAAACCATTGATTTGATTAACGTGAAAATATCGTCAGAGATGTGAGAACTGCTTTTTTGAGGTTGAGCATTTTTTTACCTCGCGGTCTCACTGGTGTTTGTAACATGTTTACGTGTGTGAGTGCTGCTGTCGAGAATTAATTTGAGGTTGTGTCTGTAGTCAGTTTGTTGTTGTTGACGCTTTTTGTTGTTGATTTATTGGCATTTGGACGGCACTTTTCACACTCACAGGCTCTAACGAATAGTTTATAATTATTTCCATATCTATTTCCCTGTAAAAGAGGCGTGTTTGTATATTTGCGCCAATCTGCGTCAAGTCACTTTCTAAACGCCTCATCAGGTCCTTTCCCGGGTCTGTTTGTCTCTTCTCTTTGTCCGAGGAAGCATCAGCCTCAAACATGTGGCTGAAGGTGTCAGACTTCTTCTTGTAACTCGCTTCGCTCTTCATCCGCTGATCCTTGCTTTGTAGATGAGGTTTTTTTTCGCAATTTTCTCGTTTGCTGTTGGAATCACTGTACATTTTGAATGATCCATTAGACGCTGTGACGTCACACTTCCGCAAACGTATGGAAAACATATTTTTTCAATAAAGTAAAGGGTAATCTTTGCCGGAATCTATTTCAGATTGGCATTCATTGATTATCTGTCATGTAATTTTGATATCCACAAATTATTGGACAAACCCTGCACAAGGTCTTTAACCACAATCTCTTTCTAACTAATTCCTTCTGAACTTTTCGCTTTGCAGAAACTAACCTTGATGACATCTATATCCCACATCATTCAATTTAGTAAACAGCTCCATTCTTCAGAGGAAATAGCTTTTTGTACTGAGTCTCCCACAGCACAATGTTCCAATGTACTGCACTGTGACAGCGTTATGATCCTGCTTGACACATTTCTGTTCTTTCCCAGAGTCTGTTGTCGAGTGTGGCCTTTGGATACGGCTGCGAGAGACTCTCCAAGTATGAAGAACAGGGAATCGGCATTCAGTGGCACAACATCGGCATCAGTCCAGAGAAAGGGGACCGTTACAGCTTTATTGTGTCCATATTTATGATGCTGTTTGACGCGCTGCTGCACTGGCTGCTCACCTGGTACATCGAGAACGTCTTTCCAGGTTTGCACTTTTTCCGATGACAGTATTAAGTGTTAGGGTTAGGGTTAAGGCAGGGGTGTCCAAACTTTATTGTAAGGGAGCCACTTTAGTTCATCAGACTTGACCAGGGGCCGACGACCTGGATTTAAACAACTGGATTCGAGGTGGATTGACTGTTTGCGTTATGATACGTCCTTATTTATTTACACCACCCTGCATTTCTTTCGGAATGTTGTGAAAATAAAGTCAATAACTGGATTTCAGAGGGTCTGGGATTTACAACAAGGTATAGCATGACTGTATTGGTGGAGCTGAAGTTGGTTGGATGACAGTGTCAAAGTGCCTCAATGGCGACTTTGTGTTAGCAGCAGAAGGGCCACATACAACGGCACAGAGGAACGTAATTGGTCCGCAGGCCTGAGTTTGGACATGCCTGGGTTAGGGTGAGTAAATATGGGGGTTAAAACATACTCTTTTTATTTAATGTCTTTGTGTGCATGGAAACTTTCTCTTAGGGCAGTGTTCCTTTTTTTGCATTAAAACATTATTTTCATTCAAAATTATTAATTTGCCATTTGCAGTAAAACCACATTGGAATACATCTTTAAAAGTCCCCAGTGTGCACAAGACAAGTACATACATAAAACAACATTAAAAGTCCAGAAATAAAACAAATAAAACAGTAAAACATTGACTCTCTCAATTGCCGATGTCTCTCAGAACAGATCTGAAGCTCAGAGAGTCTGTAGCTCCTTTCATACTAGAGGACACACCTTCATCTGCAGATAGGAAAGGAAGACGCAACAGCAAGGAACAATGACAAGACCTTCCTTATTAGCATGTTTCAAAGCCTGATTTAACATACGAGTCCCCCCAGACTTTCTGAAGCCATCCCGGAGCCAAAAGTGAATTACAAGACCAGCTTTCTACAATATACTGTATTTTAGCCACATGTTAGTGATTTACTAAAATTAAAACATTCCAATGGCAATATCTAAATTCATAGCTGCATAAAATCCTTGTTGTATACCACATTATAAGACATTTTAAGATGTATCAGGATTCTCAACATTGTTTTATCTTTGTTTTAACATGTCTGTGTGTGTTCACTGCAGGACAATATGGGATCCCAAAGCCATGGTACTTCCCATTCACCTCGTCTTACTGGTGTGGGAGGAGCACGGCGCCTGCCACTGACCCCAGTTTATTCAAGGACTACAGTGAACACAGCGGTAAGCACGTTTTTATTTCAATTCTCACCTTTTTGTATTGTTAGCTTCTTGTCACAGACTAAAGGGAGGCTGTGCTTCAAAAACCAGCTGCGGCCTAATTGGAATGGATCACAAGTGAACATTAGCACTTGTGTTTTTTTCATCTTGGGTGATAATAGAGCTGGAGGCTTAAGAGGAGGAACACTATTTACAACTAGAAACTTGCAATGGCTGAAGCCATTGCGATTGACTGCGGAACAGATCTAATGTGGAAATCTGCTAAAAAAAATCCTTGAAATCTTTTAAAAGGCCTTGAAACTGTTAAAATACTTGATAGATATTTGAAACTCCTGAAGTCCTTGAAATTGTTGAAACCTTTAAACTCCTGAAATCCTTGAAACTGTTGAAACATTGAAACTCCTGAAATCCTTGAAACTTTTTTAAACCTGGAAACTGTTGAAAGTGTGGAAACTCCTGAAATCCTTGAACCTCCTGATATCCTTGAAACTGGTTAAATTCTTAAACAGTTGAAATCCTTGAAACTACTGAATGTATTGAAAGTGTCCTTGAAACTGAAAAATCCCCTCACCGCTGAAACAATTTGGTTCCTGTAACTAAGGAAACCTGGTCTGTGGTCATTATCTGGTGGTGGTCTGAGTCTTCGTTTGGGTCTTGGTCTGGTGGTATAATGCAACCTATTAGGTTGCATTATACTGGTTTACATGGAAAAATCCCTATTAAGTTGCATTATACTGGTTTACATGGAAAAATCCCTATTAGGTTGCATTATACTGGTTTACATGTACAAATCCCTATTAAGTTGCTTTATACTGGTTTACATGTAAAAACCCCTATTAGGTTACATTATAGTGGTTTACATGTAAAAATCCTTATTAAGTTGCATTATACTGGTTTACATGTAAAAACCCCTATTAAGTTCCATTATACTGGTTTACATGTAAAAACCCCTATTAAGTTCCATTATACTGGTTTACATGTAAAAACCCTATTAAGTTGCATTATACTGGTTTACATGGAAAAATCCCTATTAAGTTGCATTATACTGGTTTACATGGAAAAATCCCTATTAAGTTGCATTATACTGGTTTACATGGAAAAATCCCTATTAAGTTGCATTATACTGGTTTACATGGAAAAAACCCTATTAAGTTGCATTATACTGGTTTACATGGAAAAAACCCCATTAAGTTGCATTATACTGGTTTACATGAAAAAAACCCTATTAAGTTGCATTATACTGGTTTACATGGAAAAATCCCTATTAGGTTGCATGATTACACTGAAGTCCTTGAAACTGTTGAAACCTTGAAACTGTTGAAACCTTGAAACTGTTGAAACCTTGAAACTGTTGAAACCTTGAAACTGTTGAAACCTTGAAACTGTTGAAACCTTGAAACTGTTGAAACCTTGAAACTGTTGAAACCTTGAAACTGTTGAAACCTTGAAACTGTTGAAACCTTGAAACTGTTGAAACCTTGAAATTGTTGAAACCTTGAAACTGTGGAAACCTTGAAACTGCTGAAGTCCTTGAAACTGTTGATGTCCTTGAAACTGCTGAAGTCCTTGAAACTGCTGAAGTCCTTGAAACTGCTGAAGTCTTTGAAACTGCTGAAGTCTTTGAAACTGCTGAAGTCCTTGAAACTGCTGAAGTCCTTGAAACTGCTGAAGTCCTTGAAACTGCTGAAGTCCTTGAAACTGTTGAATCCTTGAAACTGTTGAATCCTTGAAACTGTTGAATCCTTGAAACTGTTGAATCCTTGAAACTGTTGAATCCTTGAAACTGTTGAATCATTGAAACTGTAGAAATGTCTGAAAGAGCTGAAGTCCTATTAAAATGCATGGGCCTATTAAAATGCATTGCAGAATTCTCAATGCAAATTAATGGCAGAATTCCCAAGCCCGTAGAAAAAAACTGGAAAACTGCAGAACTCTAATTTTTTCTGAAAACTCACAAGTTGTGGAAGCTGAACATGCACAAACTGCAGAAAATGCTGAAAATGTTGAAGAAAATTCTGAAAACTATGAATTTGTGGAAGCCCCATTATAAGTCAATGGGAAAAATCGACCGATTTTTGTCCGATTGCGGAAAAACCGGAAATTGCTGAAGTCCCAAAAGTAATAGCAATAATCTCCCAAACATGTGGAACGTTTTGATGTATAACTTGTGGAAATTGTGGAAATTGTTGAAAATGTGAAAGCTGTGAAACGTGTCAAAAATCAGGAAAAAGACGGAATAATAATAAAGAACGTGAAAACCAATGGTTGACTGCGGAAGGTTCCGCAGTCAATCAATTAACTGGTATGGGAGAAGCTCACATTTATTTGAACAGGACACAACAAGAACGAGACTGCATCGCTGCCACATGACAGACATTCAGCAAGATTTCCTTCAAAAGTTTGAAAAGCTAAATTCAACTCTCATTACATTGATTAAATGACTGCCCATGTTCAGCACAGGCCAAAACTGCACTTTCTGAGACGCTTGCGGCTGTTCGGAGTGAGCTCAGAAATGATGACTATTTACTACAGCTCTATATTTGAAGGCTGTCTCAGACAGTGCATGGCAGTCTGGTTCGGTCCACTCTCTGTGAAAGATAAATCTAAGATCCAGAGACATGTTAAAACTGCATCAAAGATCATTGGAGTTGAAGTTCCCGCCCTCCAGCTGATCTACGATCAGAGCACGCTCTCACTGGCTCAAAAAATTGTCAGTGACTCCCAACACGCCCTGCCTGAGGAATACGAGACCCTGCCTTCAGGACGTTGCTTTAGGGCTGTGAGACACAGGACAAACCGCTTCAAGCTCTCCTTTGTCCCAACGTCAGCGGTACTTTTCAACAAAAACAAACATGACAAATAATGAATGCACTCCAAAACTGAACTGAATATATATATATATATTTTTGTTTTTTGTTTTTTTTGGACCAAACAGAGACTTCAGAGCACTACTGCACTTTCTTGTAATTGTTTCCTTTTCTTTCTTTTTTTGTTCATGCAGATCTGTGTAGCACTGTATCCTACTGCAGGTTTCCCTTGGGACACTAAAGTTTATCTTATCTTAAAAGTCCTTCCATTGAGAAATGCCAAGCCATGTTAGTTCTTTTTCATTGTCATTTCAATATTTTTTTCAGGTTCATACAGGATTACTACATAGATATACATTTTCCTCTTCCCCCCATAGAGACTTCGGAAGAACTTAGACTTAGAACTCCCATCCCATCTACATACACATTCATACAATTCGTAATTATATTGTACACTATCATTACTGTCTATCCTCATTCTCGTCATCATCATGTTTCTGTTCTGTACAGTCATGACGTTGTTATTATGATTATTATATTACGGTTGAATCTGATTTTATAACATTATAGTAACATTGATGTCCATCGAACATTTTTTTTTTCTTTCACTGAACCATGGAAGTACTCCAGGAACACTCATTCAAGCCCCTCTTCTGTAAAACCATTGAGAGCAAAATGCCTGAATATCCTTGCTCTACAACAACACAACACTCTTAAAGCTGGGTTTCCAGGAATGGCCTACGGAAAAAGCAAATCCATATCTTAACCCTGCTCTGGGAAATGATGCAGGAACAGAGTAAATGCTCATTTGCTTCCTTTTTGCTCTCAGCGTTGTCTAAGCATGCCCTATATCTGCAAACACACTCAATCTCATCTTTTCCAGACTACCTGGAGAAACCACCTGCCGACGAGAAAGTGGGTGTTTCCGTCCGAAATCTTGTCAAAATCTACAAGACCGGAAAGAAACTCGCTGTGGACGGTCTGAGCGTGGACTTCTACGAAAACCAGATCACGTCTTTCCTGGGCCACAACGGCGCAGGCAAAACTACCACCATGTACGTAGCCATATCTGCCTCTGCCACATTCCGAGCAGCACGCCCTGACCCATGAGCAAATTCACCAGCACATGCTAATCTGAGCCGTGCACAATACCAACTGCACCCAGGCCATATTAACTCAGAGGTCATTGCTTTCAAAAAGAGAGACTTCTTAGAGAGAACATTTATCACACAGACTCAGCTGTTGGGGCTACACTGGGAGTTATCTAATTGCGGGTTTTAAAAAAGAGGAAGTTGGTAGAAAGGTTTTTAAGGTTCAGGGGATGACAAGAAATAAATGAAACCCACTGGCCTGGATAGAACGAGCCGGAGCGAGGTAGTGATGCAAAACTAAAAGGCCTAAGGGGAGCTCGGTGTAACTGTAGCAAAACATAACGGAGCACAACAAACGGGTAGGGCAGAGAAAGGACTCGCTGTGCTGTATGTAAGAGTGCATCTCATTTAAAGATTAACTATTGGTGCATTATTTTTGTCACTTTTTTTCCTTTTTGGATTCAGATTCAGTTTAATTGCCGTTTGCCGTAAATCTACATTAGCAAAAGTATTCCAGTGTTCACGCATATAAACAAAACAAGCTAAAAAGTGCGGGAAATAATTGTCAACAATAACCAGCTTCAGTAACAAGTGCAAGATGTGCTTTATGTTTTAGAATGTGAATTATTATTGTAACGAAGAAATATTGTTTGACATTTTTATTATGAGGAATAGCCCCTTGAGATGCATCATCTCGTTTTCAAGAGGGTCCTCAAAAATAGCAACACAAGTGGCAGCAGCGGTTGTCAAATAAATGCCCTTACAGTAAATAGATTCAATAAAACCACAAAACAAAAACAAATAGAAGGACAAACATTCACTCACACACACACACACACACACACACACACACACACAGAGCTCTCAAAGGTCAGAGGTCACCCTACTTCTCAAACTAGGACAGTCAAAACCAAAGGATATAGTGTTTAAAAGAAAGTTCAGAAGCAGTTACAGACATTTGTTATAATAAAAAAATTATATGTCAAACAAGAAGAAATATTAGAAAAAACAACAAGTAATCTTTAAGTAAGTAATCTTTATTTACTTAGCACCTTTCACAGAGTGGGCGTCGCCAGTACAGGAGGCACATGCCAGACCTATTGTACATGTTTTTAGTGGTAAGGGAAACCAGAGCACCTGGAGGAAACCTACACAGACAGGGGGAGAACATGCAAACTCCACTCAGAAAGGCCCTGTTCCGACCGGGATTTGAAGCCAGGACCTTCTTGCTGAGAAGCGAGAGAGCTAACCACTCTGCCACCGTACCGCCCGCACTAATATCAGGAGCTTCTGCCACAAGCATGAATCGTTCCCCCTTCCATCTAAAACTTTCTATCTCAAGCTGGGCCCCATTCTGCCGCAAATGTTTGAGGCACGCCAATATTAAGATTGCGCTGAGATTCTTGCCCCTGGTGCGTCTGACTGGTGCGATGTGATGTGTGGGGGTTATGAGCTGCTGACTCTGCAATCGCGCGGATATAAAACATTTTCGATATTTGCCGTGATTGGTAGGGTCAGAGCGCCGTCGTGCAAACACTAAAATACAGCGGCAGAGGAGAGTCGACACCGCGCTGTGGCACTGGAAGCCATGGGACATCAAACTACGCCCATTATAAAACAAAAAGTATCACCCAATAGTTTTGCCAATTTCTCAAATGGCGTCCTTTTCTATCAATCAATCAATGTAGTAAGTAGTAAGTAAGTAAGTAATCTTTATTTATATACCGCCTTTTCACTGCAGATCTGAGTCTCAAAGCGGTTTACAATTGTTAATTTTGGGCATTTGTCCTCTCACTCCACACAGAGATGGGAGCGGGGTCGCCAGTACAGGAGGCGCATGCCAGAACTATTGTACATATTTTTAGTGGTAGGGGAAACCGGAGTACCCGGAGGAAACCTACGCAGACACAGGGAGAACATGCAAACTCCACTCAGAAAGGCCCTGGTCCGACCGGGATTCGAACCCAGGACCTTCTTGCTGAGAGGCGAGAGTGCTATCCACCGTGCCGCCCAATGTGTTTATAGCCACAATCGGAAAGCAACAAAACAAATTCAACTCTTCCATCTTTTCAAAATTCTAAAACATAAAATGGCAAAGTAAATACAAGTTAAAAGATTGTTTAGAATGTAAAAGATGAAAAGTTTGTATCATAATCATAAATAATGGACACAAAATGCTGCATCATAAACCGTGAGCTTAACTTTTCTGAAACAACTTCATGTGGTCTTCCCGGACACTAACAATATTTTTGTCCATGGCTCAATAAAAAGAGACAGTGGATATATTGTTCAAACTAAAGTATTTCTTTTAATTTATTGTTCAAATGTCGGCTCATAGTAACCTGGGAATACCCACGCTGCTGCTGTGTGTGGAAACTCAAATCTAAATACAAATACATTATGTTAATGAGATGCAAATTAGATGAAACGTTCTAAATATTGTCATGTTCCTACTTAAAATCAGAAGTCGACAAAGAAAATGTAAGTGTATTTTATCGTCTTATACAAGTATTACATGTGTGTGTATTGTATATGTGTTCGTATGTGTGTATGTATCAGAATCAGAATCATTTTTATTGCCACGTAAGTAACAGGAGGTCACAGACTTGGAAATTACTTTGGCTCAGTGCAACAGTCAGAAAGAGATAATAAAAATAAGAATAAAAAACACTTCTAAAGAATACATTTAAATTTAAAATAGAGTTACAGTTACTATTTACAATATACAAGTGCACATGGTGCACACAATGTAAGGTGACAGCAGTACAGTGAAGTAAAGTGACGTATGATGGGCAGTAAAGTGACTTTATAAAGGGCGGGGGGACAGGTTAAGAAGTGTTCAAGAGTCCAACAGCAGAGGGGAAGAAACTGTTCTTGTGGCGGGAGGTTCTAGTCCTGATGGACCGCAGCCTCCTGCCTGAGGGGAGTGGTTGGAATAGTCCATGTGCAGGTGAGAGGGGAGTGGTTGGAATAGTCCATGTGCAGGGTGAGAGGGGTCGGCTGTGATACGACCAGCCCGGCCTCGAGCTCGGGCGACGTACAGGTCCTGCAGCGATGGAAGGCTGCGGCCGATCACTTCCTCTGCAGAGACCACAATGCGCTATAGTCTCTGTTTGTCCCTGACTGTGGCTCCAGCGAACCACACGGTGACGGAGGAGGTGATGGAGGAGGTGAGGATGGACTCGATGATGGCCGTGTAGAACTGCACCAACATCTGTGCAGGCAGCTTGGCTTTCCTGAGCTGCCGCAGGAAGTACATCCTCTGCTGGGCCTTCTTGATGAGGGAGCTGATGGTCGGCTCCCACTTGAGGTCCTGGGTGATGGTGGTGCCCAGGAAACGGAAGGACTCCACAGAGGTGATGGGGGAGTCCATCACGGAGGGTGGGGGCGGGGGGACAGTGCTCTTCCTGAAGTCCACAATCATCTTCACTGTCTTCTGGGCGTTCAGCTCCAGGTTGTTACCACTGCACCAGGACACCAGCCGGTCCACCTCCCTCCTGTAGGCGGACTCAACGTTGTTGGAGATGAGTCCAATGAGGGTGGTGTCGTCCGCGAACTTGATCAGCTTCACGGAGTCGTGGCTGGAGGTGCAGTGGTTGGTGTACAGGGAGAAGAGCAGGGGAGAAAGAACACAGCCCTGTGGGGCACCTGTATTTATAATCCGAGAGTCCGAGACATTCTTCCCCAGACGCACTCGCTGCTTCTTGTCCGTCAGGAAGTCAGTGATCCACCTGCAGGTGGAATCGGGCACGTTGAGCTGGGAGAGCTTGTCCTGGAGCAGGGATGGCAGGATTGTGTTGAAGGCAGAGCTGAAGTCCTCGAACAGGACCCTGGCGTAGGTCCCCGGGGAGTCCAGGTGCTGTAGGATGTGGTGGAGGGCCAGGTTAATGGCGTCGTCTACAGATCTGTTGGCTCTGTAGGCGAACTGCAGGGGGTCCAGGAGGGGGGAGGTGAGGGACTTGAGATGGGAGAGAACCAGGCGTTCAAATGACTTCATGACGACAGACGTAAGTGCTACAGGTCTGTAGTCGTTGAGTCCTGTGATCCTGGGCTTCTTCGGGACGGGGACAATGATGGAGGATTTGAAGCAGGCCGGGACATGGCAGGACTGCAGAGAGGTGTTGAAAATGTCAGTGAACACAGGAGTAAGCTCACTGGCACAGTATGTATGTATAAATGTATGTACTTATGTATATTTATGCGTATATGTGCGTATGTACTGTATGTGTGTTTTTGCATTTATCTGTGTAATAGAGTATAATGTAAAACTTCGTGGTACTTTTATGTTGTACAGGACAGTATCCAGTATTTAGTTTTATTTTGTAGTTGGGAGTAAACAAGTATTTCACTTCTTCTCACTCCCTTTCAAGCAAAGAGCATTACTTCATTGTTAAGAAAAAAATGAAATAATCTGTAAATATAACAGATTCAGATTCATTTATTTGCCATTTGCAGTAAAACCACATTGGAAAAACTCTGCAAGACTACCCCAGTGTGCACCGTGTATATTGTTTACTGTGAAATAAATTCATTGATTCATTCAGTCACACAAGGTATTCTTATCATGAATAATCACAGTACATTAAAAAGAGTCTGGTTCACTTTGATTGGGTTAGGTCTGTGCTTCTCAGATCTGTTTCAAAAGATGTAAAGTGACCATAGAATACACGTTTTCTGCGATTTTACTTCCCCAAATTAAGACTTCCCCCAGAATTGGTCCCGTTAAAGTGAACCAAACCAGCCAATGTGACTGTAGCTGTAAAAAGTTAAGTTTTTGACTGCTGGCACTTTATCTTTGGCATATTTACCCGAGCTTACACCATGCTCGCCAACTTGGAAACAGATTAGCTTCTTTCAAATATCATTCTTTTTTTTTTCAAGGTCTATTCTGACAGGTCTTTTTCCTCCAACTTCTGGCACCGCGCTCATCAACGGCTACGACATCCACTCTGACATGGACACCATCCGGAAATATTTGGGAATGTGCCCACAACACAACGTTCTCTTCAGCGAGTGAGTTTTCTACAACCTGCATTCGGAAAAAAAGGAATCACTTTAGTGTTATTAATCTCTATTACGAAGCTGTTGTTGGCCTATGTTCACCGTCAACACATTATTATCCTCTCCTTGTTTCGACTTTCCTCACCCCTTCCATTGAGAAACTGGTAATAGCACCATTTGCAACTATTTTACTTCACCTTAATGGCCCCACTATTTCTCTCCCTCCCCAAACTGATTACCTGGAACTCGACACTAGCCCTGCATCATGATTATACCCAAGCACCTGCAAATTACTTCCATTAATATTAATTCCCAGACAGTGAAGGCATCCGAATTAGGTAGGGTTAAATACAGTGCCCTCTACGAATACTGACGTGCGGGAGAAAATATGAGGCAACCACAAGACAATAACAATAATAATATTTTTTATATTGTACTTACAAATCAGCCACTATATAAATAAAAGTTATTAGCATTAGTGAAATATATAGGATCAAATGGCCCTAGTCTAAATCTAAAAACGACTGCAAAATTATGACATAATAATTTAAATTTGTATTCTATTTTTTAGACATAATAGCTTCATGAATGTTTGATATTATTAATGTATGCATATCATTAAAGCTGGGGTGGCTTATTATTGTTATACAAAGGCGTCACAAAAACAATCAGTAACATGTGGTTTAATCATGGTGTAACAAATCATCTATATATGTAGTAACACATGGTTACTTAATAAATATTAAATTATTAAATAATCATGAACAAGTGAAGTACTTGAAGATGTATTGATTATTAGTTAAGCATTTATTAACTGTAGTAGTTAAGTAGTTATTAAATGTTTTTCACACATAATTAATTGTTCATGATTAATTAAGAGTTAATTAAACATTTATTAAGCCTAAATAAGGTGTAGTTATTATAAAGTGTTACCATGCAATCATGTGCAAACAAATGTGTTCTATTTTGCTTTTTTGACTCCCACATCTACACTGACGTACCTTTTTGCGTGTGTGCTAAATATGACGGGAGCGATAAACCCGTTGTAAAGATATTTCAAGTATTCCTCAGTCGAGCACTCTCATCTCCTGCCGCCTTTCTTCTGTCTATGTGTAAGATTATCATTTCCAATTCCAGACTAACTGTGGAGGAGCACATTTACTTTTACGCACGGCTGAAGGGACGCAGCAAGGATGAAGTTAAAGAGGAGATGGAGCAGATGATCAAAGATGTCGGGCTACTGCACAAGAGGAAAGAACGGGCCAAAAACTTATCTGGTATGTTTTAGACAAGACGGATTTGTACCAAGTCAATTCGAGCATTTACACGGATTTCACAGACACGTGTATAAACTCTTCTCCAGATATCCGTTGGTCTGGAGGACATGTTAGCGATGCAAAACACATTTAGCATTATATATTTAGCATTAGCTTTTACTTCTGACGCTAATGCTCCTCAAAGATAAGATAGGAGGACCTTCATTTTGTCAGTTTATGCAGTTTTTGTCAGTTGCTTTGCACAATAGGAACAGTGGGGGCGAGTCCCGGCTCAAAAGTGGCCAAAGTGGCTGCAATACCACCCCGGGCCCATGGGGGTGGACCTGGAATAAAAATTAGCCAATGCTAACATATAGCATATTCATACCTCTGGAAAACCTCTTTACAGGATGGTCCCAAAGTTGTCTCTTGGCCCAAAGCTCCGTTCCACATGTGTGTCAATGCTGAGTGTTTTGGACCAGTCTAGTTTAGTCGCTGTGGACTTTAGAAGTCACTCGTTTAAATGAATGGGGCTCGTGCAGCTGACTCATGCACAGATGTGTTTTTTCACATTTTCCAGCCCCCGCCGCCATTTTGAATCACTCCACAAAAGCCCAATTTTTGGTCCATTAGTTAGAACGCCGGAGATAGGCGTCACTACGTCCGTTAACATTTACAGTCTATGAGTAGGAATAAACATCAACAGTAAATGTCAACATGCCCTTTGCGTTGATCTGTTACATGAAAATGAAAGTAAAACCAAACCGGAGCATAAATATAACCAACAGTGCACGTTCACACTGTTTCTCTGGTTCACTTTAACTAGAGCAATTCTGGTTCCAACGTCCGCACTGAGTCCGCTAGTCACTGAAGTCGGTTTGCATAATTTTTTGTGTGTGAAGATTTGTGTTTCCCCCACAAGTGAAAAGAGAGAGCTCGACCAGCTTTACGTTTGCCAATAGTTGTGTTATGCTGGATCATACACCCAGTTGCGGTTTTTATTAGCTATTACAAGTGCTTGCAGCTTTGGGGCGACAGTTAAATCACTGCACTCCCCTGAACTTCCCTCTTAATGACCTCGTTGCATCAATTAGATTTTTGGATCTGTAAGCAGCCGGGGACTCTGGGACACAGTTTGGTCGTGTTGTGCATCCTGAATGGACCGTCCATTAAAATACCATCCATCCATCCATTTTCTTCCCCTTAATCCATTTCTGGGTCGGGGGGGTGGCCAGAGATGCACCCAGTCCACAGAGCACCAGCCCCTCACTGATCCTCCTGCAGGTGCTGAGTCCACAGGAGCTGAGATCTTTCAGTGGGAGCTTCAGGCAAAGTGGGGTTAAGTGTCTTGCCTAAGGACACAACGACAGCAGTCATCAGTGGGAGTCGTGAAGTAGGTCTTACGGTGGGCTCGAACCCACGACCTTCAGGCTCAAAGGCCAATGCTCTACCAACTGAGCTACTGTCGCCCCTACATTAAAATACATAGAATCTAAAACAGTACCTTACATTCTGCACATTACTGCATGTAACCAAATGATATGTTTTACACCTTCGCTATCACAAACATTTTTACTTTCCGCAGTCCGGGCAGCACGGTGGCTGAGTGGATAGCACTCTCGCCTCTCAGCAAGAAGGTCCTGGGTTCGAATCCCGGTCGGACCAGGGCCTTTCTGAGTGGAGTTTGCATGTTCTCCCCGTGTCTGCGTAGGTTTCCTCCGGGTACTCCGGTTTCCCCTACCACTAAAAATATGTACAATAGTTCTGGCATGCGCCTCCTGTTCGGCGACCCCGCTCCCATCTCTGTGTGGAGTGAGAGGACAAGTGCCCAAAAAAATAATAACAATTGTAAACCGCTTTGTGACCCTTGTCTGTGAAAGGCGGTATATAAATAAACATTACTTACTTACTTACCCTTATACACAGATTATTGCATATGTTTTAGCCGAAAATATCAGAATTCACACAGACACCTGCACCGTACCTGCGTGGAAGATTGTTTATCACTGTCTGCTGGCCATGAGCGAGTGCGACTTGATGAATTGGTCCCAGTCATTGGCTGCTTGTGAGCAAAATCACTGAAATATGACTTTCAAGGTTGATCTGGGCTGACATTTCCACTACATTAGCAGTACATTGGATGCATTCTGAAGAGCCTGCGACGCGACTCAAATCACCCTCGTAATACGTCCATTGTGTGCTATCAATCACTTCACATCACACGCTATAAAACATGGCCGTAGCTTTCTATTAAAGGCACGCTTTGTAACTTTTAGATGTCACTTGCTTGTCTCAATAGAGTTTGTTTTTTAAATGTAGAATTAAACTATTTGGGACTTAATAATTACATTGAACTGTATTAAGTAAAACTGTCTTTTTAAATATACATTATTTTGGGGAGAGAGAGAGAGAGAGAGAGAGAGAGAGAGAGAGAGAGAGAGAGAGAGAGAGAGAGAGAGAGAGAGAGAGAGAGAGAGAGAGAGAGAGAGAGAGAGAGAGAGAGAGAGAGAGAGAGAGAGAGAGAGAGAGAGAGAGAGAGAGAGAGAGAGAGAGAGAGAGAGAGAGAGAGAGAGAGAGAGAGAGAGAGAGAGAGAGAGAGAGAGAGAGAGAGACTTCTACTTGTGTCATACCTGATGGCCATCTCCCAACCACAAAATAAAATTATATATTTTTGAAGATGTTCTCTCTAAGCTGGAAGACATGTGCACATTCTGATGGCAGACCGTCATCCAGAAAAGTTCCATGTTTTTCCGTGGAGTAAACATGGGCATATGTCTGATGGAATTCATCACTCTCTTCTCTGGGCTTGTTTTTGTCAGAGCGACACTCACTCAGACGGTGTGTTCCAGGTGGCATGCAGAGAAAGCTGTCAGTGGCCATAGCCTTTGTTGGCGGCTCAAAAATAGTCATCCTGGACGAGCCAACAGCTGGAGTGGACCCGTATGCAAGAAGAGGCATCTGGGAACTTCTGCTTAAGTATAAAAAAGGTATGATTATGTTAAACACTAGCTGGTACAAGATTAACCTCACAGAACGCAGACATAAACATATGTGGCATTCAGTGACCACATTTTGCAATGTCGCATATTTGCTTTGGGTACAAATATTAGTGTGTGTGGATCTTTTGACCATAAATCTACATTTTTTGCATGCAACTGTATTAACAAGACCATCTTCTATCAGTGTATGTATGTGAAGTCTGCTTTGTTATCTCTGAGAAAGGACTGCAGCGGCGGCTAACGCAGACACTATTCCTCCCCACAGTCTCTTTAATTGTATCACCCCCGTCGCTTCATGGACCTATAGACTTCCATGGTGGTTGTTAGTTTTAAACAGGACCTGCACACGCTAGCAACACATTCCCCAAGTCTAAATCTTTAATGTGCATTGAGTGACACCTCGGCCTGGCTGTGTCATTAGCTTCTCGCCGTCTAATCAAGTCCTTTCACTGCAACTGGGAGCTGCAGATAACTTGCTTATAATGAGAACACCCACATTGTGCTGCTTGAATGACTAGTGTTTTGTGCCTCTCCGCGCGTATTTGTACCACAGTGTTAGCGAGGTTTGTCATTAGGAGAGAGAAAAGAAAACGGATTTATATGAAGGGCTAGGCTTCTCGTGGTTAGTCAGCAGCAATTAAATAAGCTGGATTCGATTGCAGTCGGAGTGGCTAGACTGGCGTAAGTGGGTGTTGTTTTGATTCACTTATGTATTTGGCTGCTGTTCAGCTGTGCTCAAGGTAAGATGAACAGAATGTGCATTGATCGTAATGATGGAAGTTAGTGTGAACATATTGGATGGATGATCGCAGCATAAAGTCCTCGTCTTTAAAGTCTATTTTGATCTTACGTGTTGATTTAAAGAAGACATGACATGTTTCTGTATATAGTGAGAATATATATCACTCTACATTTGAAATAGGCTTAATGTTATAAAAGAAGCAAGTTCAGCATATCAAAAGTTTTGCTCAGACTGCAGCTCAAGATAAATGACTCCTCAGTCCTTCTTACTTTCCAATAAGACATTTGTAAAAAGATCTAAGTAGTGGGTGTGTTGTGGATCAGTGGTCAGAGCCTTGGGGAGCAATCATATCTATATAATAAAAAACGCTCATAAGACATTTGTGTTTCCAATATATAAACAATATCTATGCAGCAAAACAAATACAATGACAAATAATACTTTCAATAAACATATTATAATATTAATTTAATTTGTTATAACTAAGGCCCCGACTCCACTGGCTGCGTAAAAGTACTACGTATCTGTCCAAACGTATCCGTCCAAACGTGTCTGGTTTGTTTTCTCCATGAGGGTGAATGGAAGTGACTCCACTGCCTGCGACATGCGTCCGTATGATGCGCGTAGGGAGCAGTCAGTCTACGCAGGGTGCAACGGACGTGGACGGACAAAATAGAAACAAATCCCACACCGCTGCTTTTATTTGAATGGTCTGAAGTTAAAACAAAGCCCTAAACCCGGAGGGGGAGCTGCGCTGCTGAAGCCGCTGTGGCCACGATTCAGTTTTACAGACGTCTGACGGGCAGCAGCCTACGCGGCCGGTGGAGTCCAGCACTAATGATTGATTGTGATCAATTACACAACAAAGCTAATAGTGTAAGGGTAAGGGAGGGTTGAGACCCCCAGGCAGTTTACGGTTGTTAAACTGGGGGTCACCCAGTTTAAATACGGTATAAATACTATATATCTACTGTAATTGGTAATTATAAATGGAACCCTAACACAATACATGACTGAAACAAGCAACATGACAGATAATGGAACAGGTTTTCATGCTTCTGGCTGTTCTGAATAGCGATTCCGTTATGAAGCAGGATTCGCAATGTTAATGTTATTTTTGAGGTCCCTGTCTAAAAAGAGACCGATGGTTGGAAACCCCAGTATTTATAACTTTATGCACACCAAACGTAAATGAATAAAAAAAATAATTACTGCACATTTTACACTACAAGGCAGATCCTGAAGGATCGGCCCCTCCCACCACCACCAACCATTCACACACACACCAGACTCATTCTAGGCAATGGGGGTGAAGTGTCTTGTCTAAGGACACAACGACAGCAGACAGTGGGAGTCGATGGTGAAGGTCGGGCTTGAACCCACAACCCTCTGGCTCAAAGGCCAATGCTCTACCAACTGAGCTACTGTCGCCCTGGATAACACTTAAGAAATGTTTGTGTCCGTATTTTAGTTGCCGCGATCATAGCTCATGACTGGGTTATTTCTGTCTCGTGCTTGGTTCCAACAACTCTATGATCTCGGGAAATAACATTATAATATCTCCCAAGTTAGCGATCAGGATTTAATTAGCAATTATGAGTCTGAATAAAATAAACATGCTCCTTCTAATGGCTGTAAAAACTGCACATAATATCAGATCTCTGGGCTTTACTTTGTCTGCCAATCAAGTCCTATCGTGACAAATAACTACTAATACAACCAGTCTAATTGCCTAAATGTCTCACTGAAATTATTTAAAGGGAATTTCTCTTTTATTTCTATAAAGATCAGTGGCTCATACATTATGCATTGTTTATTAAATGTCCCGTACTAAAATAAACAAAATGTCATCTCTTTTAACTTTTTATCGTTTAAATGTTGTACTTTACATGACACAGACAAATATTGTTGATTATTAGTTGTGAAGAAGTTAATCCCTTTGAAGAAACACATTCATTATTGGCTTCTATTATCATAAAATCTGTTTAGTTTTATTGTTTTGATGTCTTCCAAATGGCTCTCATAAAGTTCCCATCACTCCACACACCATTAGCCCTTGTATCTGTTCAAAACAACACCTTAAAATCCAAATACATCTTTTGGAAGCGTTGATCTAAAGTGACTTGAACTATTTAAGCAGCAGGTAACACAATTCCTCCACACAGTATAAAAACCTTAAAAGTATCCATAAATCTGCCAGGACCGGCTTAATCAACCGCTGTGAAATCCATTTATATCAGGCAGATTTACAAGGCTTGATGCTGAATAACAGAAAGCAGATTTTCCAGACCTCAAAAGTACGACCAATTTACCCGAACGCGCCGCACTTATTTGATATATCACTTAGAGCTGTAATACACTGCAACTTGCCATAAATCAGAATACCTTTGTGGGCCATCTGCGGTCCAAATAAGTTTATTCTACCCCCGACTCGGCCATTATTCACTGTGTTTTGATTAGAATTTCCCCCTTGTAAACCACAACAAGCCTCAAGGAAAATCATGATCTTATTTTTGCACCAACAAATGGATTTCTATCTGTGATAAAAGGGGACATCATACATACAAACATAAGCACCATTCGGACGGGATTAGTTTTACATGGGGACCCCTGGTAATTTGTGATAATCACGTAGGACCACCATATAGAGGCGTTTTTTTTTTTGGAGAGCGAGATTTTGCAGAAATTGTGCGACAAGGAAAAATGGGGCCGAGTTGGTCTGCAGTTTAATGACCTCAGAGCGCGTCCTTGTACCAGGGCTAATGTGACCGGAGAGGATACAACGTTTAACTACCTCAGCGAGACAAAGCCAGCGGCAGTACGAGCACTTGACCTTTTGCTGTAAACATTAGACAATGGAGGAGGAAAGAATAAAAGTGCCCGTCATTGATGATTCAAAACTTGAAAGTGATAGTCTGTAACTCTAAATGAATTACAAATTTTAGGAAATGTGTTAAATTGACCTCCTGGCCTTAAATGTTGATATAAAATAAGTCATTTTATTAATTCTAATATTACGGGCAAGTCCCGCCTTCCCTGCTCTTAGCTATAGTTCAGAATCCACGGTGCCGTCGAGGTTAACCAATCGAGTCAAGCCAAGAGCTGTCAATCATCGGCGCTGATGCTCGCAGCTACGCGCATGCTCAGTTGTTTGTTTTTGCGGAGCCTCCGAATCAAGCCTCTATTAGGCTCTGGAACAACATGAAAACTGAACAAAGAATTCTGAACATCCGCGCTGAGGTACTCATTTATATACTGAACCTATATCCATAATCATTTATATACTGAACCTATATCCATAATCATTTATATACTGAACCTATATCCATAATCAGATCCTCTGCAGATGTGTCCTATAATGTGCAATTCATGATAATAGCACTTCCTGGTTTGCCGCGATCGCTTTTTTTGTGCATAAAAACATTATTTTTTTCATTAAAACGTTCACAAATAATTCTGAAAACCTCCGTGCATGTGTATTAATAATTTATATGTATAATGTGTTCTCTGATTAACATTTCAAAGTGTTACGGAAACGTAGGTGTAGACCAATCAGAAAGGAAGGGGGAGGGAGCTTGCGTCGTTTTTTTCAAATCAAGTACCTCTCTGTCTCTTTCTGACAAACTCCAGACAATCACTTTAAAAGGTATAAGTGGGTCATGACATTTGTTGATATGGCCTTTTTGGAGCTCTCTATGGCACTCACTCACGACTTCATTAGAATGTGGAGCAGTACAGTCTAGTCTCCATTCTAAGACCGTTTCCCCGGGTGACACGGTGGTAGTGGTTAGCTCTCTTGCTACTTGGTAAGAAGGTTCCTGGGTCTGAACTCTGGTTGGGTTTACTCAGTGAAGTTGGCATGTTCTCCTCTTGCCGGCGTAGGCTTCCTCCTCCTTCAGTAGTCCTGACCAAGCTGAGCACCAACATCTGGAAATGGGTCCCCTTGAGACATTGTAGAATGGGTCAAACGCAGGTGACTAAACTATGCCCGACCATACCTTAAATGTCCCAAATTCTTTCTTTATGTACTATTCAAACCAATGCACTTTACTTTTTCCCTACTTGTTCGCAGTAGTTCCGTTGCTAAAATGGTCTGTATGTTGGTAAAGCACTATGTATGAACTCTTATACAAATAAACTTGCCGCGACAGGTCTTCGTTTCGTGTATAGATCAAAAATGTCTCCAACAGATTCCTGATGTTGCTTTAATGCAGCCCCTCGGGACATGACCACGCTACAGCTCCACCACCAATCTTGTTTCTTGCTTCTTTTTGTTCTCCGTAACTATTTGATTTTCTATGCCATGGGTTAATTGATATGTATTTTCTGATCCAGAATGCAATGAAACGAAAAGCACCTGAGAATAACCTTGCCAACACTCTTTGTCTCCGAAGCCTCTGCAGTCGTGTTTAGATTCATTCATCAAAGTACTGAAGCAAAAGAAATTCTCACAAGCGGCGCAAAGTAACGACTCAGAGTTCGGCCTTGATCATAGTTTTAATTTTGCCCTGGATTCCCGCCCATGAGATCCGCTGCCGTTGCTTTGTTGCCGTGAGGATTACAGAGTACAAAACAGTCAGCAATGTCAGCAGTACGGAAACAGTGAGACACATTCGCAATTGCTTGACAGTGTGGCAGCTTTCATTGTTGGTCGTACACAAATTTATCCCTAATCTTTGCAGAAGCCCCTTTGGGTTTATTCAACAGCATGTGCACCCTTTATGCGCCAGATTTGTCTCTTTTGCGTAATCGTTATGAAATAGAGAAATGGTGAAACCCTGAAACATTATCACACATGGATTTAGAACGACAGAATTCAGTAACAGAAATACATCAATCAAAAAGATGTATGGAAACGTTTGTGGGAAGCTGGGTTGCTGTTGAGGGAGTTTTGTGAATTCTGGAGCTTGTGGCTAGTACTGTGGTCTGGACCTAAACTCACTGAAGCGCCTAGGGATACATAAGAGAATATTTCATTCATTTTTTCATTTAATTTCATTTTCAACCCCTTTGTCCATTTCTGGGTCGGGGGGGGGAATAGACATTACTTATTTGCGGGCCTCACTTCAGATAAGATTAGATAAACTTCACTGATCCCCTGTCACTTTCTGTTACGACCCGAAGGACAAAACATATTTGAAGGACACAGAGACAGGTTTAGAGTTCAAAAATAATGATTTTATTTATACATGTTCTTTTAACTGAACTCTAGTTTGTTATTATTAATATGAATATTAAATTAAACCAACCCCGTGTCCAGAATACAAAAACCCAAAGTAATCAAATTAAAGGTGGACCTGGTGGGCCAGCCAAAACAAACAAAAATGGGCCGACACCGAACCAACCCTATACAGGGCCGTCCGGATCCGATGCCGGCACCCTAAAGAATAAACAAAACCCAACTAGCTACACCCTCCAACGAAAATGTAACCACCGGACCCACCAGATCAAACAAAAATAAGGACAAGGAACAAAATGCTAACCAAATGGCTAAAGCAACAACCAAACCATGCGGCGTCTGGGGAGGCCGCAAACCAGGACTAGGAGGGAGCGCTCACCTCAGCAGGTGTTTGCAAAAGTCAGAGAGCAGAGAGGGGCGGGAGCGCTTCTTATACTCCCGACCCGAGCTGCAAAATATACAAAATAAGTTACAAAAACGTTATCAAAAATGCAACCTATAAAATATACAAAACACAAGCTTACAAAAATAACTATAAAACCCAAAAATACCTGGACAAAAAAAAGATAAGACATAAAACCAACACTGGTCTGTCGGGTTGATAATGGAAATAATAAATTTAATTCAATACATGTATCGTACTGTATTTAATATGATTAACAATAGTGTGTGGGTCTCCCTCCGTGTAGAGTTGCCACAGGACGCGTCATCAGCCTACGTCAGCAGCCGCGGACTGCTATGAAAACATTAGCTTTGTAGTTTCACAGGCGCAGTTGACTGCTTAAACTAAACTTTACACGAAACTTTGACTCTTAAAACCCACATATGACAACACGGAATCATCAACATCTCGCCTCAAATTGCATTAAAAGTGACATTCGTGTCTTAATTCGTTCGTATTTCAACTTTTAAAGCAATTCACGGTCCGCCATCTTGGTATGCTTCGGCTACCGAGAGACGCGCATGCGCAGGTTTGCATTACATCATAAACAGCTGAGGCAGTGCATCTCTTCAAGACAGTGTATCTCAGCGTTACACCGTAACTGTTTTTATAATCCATAATCTTATGATAAAACCATGTGTAGCTGTTTTTATAATGTGTAATTGTAGATATATATATAAATATAACTGTGTGTAACTTTTGATGCCTTTTGTCCAGGACTCCCTTGAAAAAGTGGTTCTTAATCTCAATCTCATGGGACTTCCTTGGTTAAATAACGGAGAATCTTTGCTGTTGCTGCTCCTAAACCATGGAATAGTCTACCACTCTATACCCCACTGTGTATTTTGTGTAATCGGCATCTGCACAATAAAAAGGCGGACACTTTTTTACGGGCGGCACGGTGGCTGAGTGGATAGCACTCTCGCCTCTCAGCAAGAAGGTCCTGGGTTCAAATCCCGGTTGGACCAGGGCCTTTCTGAGTGGAGTTTGCATGTTCTCCCCGTGTCTGCGTAGGTTTCCTCCGGGTGCTCCGGTTTCCCCTACCACTAAAAATATGTACAATAGGTCTGGCATGTGCCTCCTGTACTGGCCCCGCTCCCAAAAAATAACAATTGTAAACCGCTTTGAGACTCCGATGTGCAGTGAAAAGGCGGTATATAAATAAAGATTACTTACTAATTACTTACTTACTTACCTGGAAAAGTTTCATAAAACCGTATAATTCTACCGTACACACTACTGTATGTGTCTTACCTTGAGCTTTTCTGTACTGGCTGATCTTTCCCTTACAGATCGGACCATCATATTGTCCACACACCACATGGATGAGGCTGACATCTTGGGCGATCGCATTGCCATCATCTCCCATGGGAAAATGCGTTGCTGTGGCTCCTCACTTTTCCTCAAGAAGCGATTTGGGAGCGGCTACTACTTGACTCTGGTCCAGAACGGAGCTGAGAAAATGACCATGCAACGGACTGGGATGATACAGACAACAGAGGTACCAAAAGATTCACATTTGTCAAGGTTGGCCGATTGAGTACTGTTTTTTTTTTTTCTTGCCGGTGCAGGAGGGGGTGTCAAAGCGGTTCAAAAAAGGGCTAGTTTGGCTAAAACTGATAAAACTGGACTTACCTGAGGAAATGGCTGGAGTCTAGAGTGCTACTCTGGCCCTTTGAGTACCGGTTTGACACCCCTGGTCAAAGGACAGTGATGATCCAGGACATTTAAGGATATTCATGCCTATTTATTAACATTTATGGTTGGTGCGCCACTGTGCCGTTCCTTTGTTCCAGCAGTTTGATTCTCTGATCTGCTGTTGGTGAATTGATAACTTTGTAAAGTCATTTGAGATGACTGAAATGAACTGAATACATAAACTGTACGAACGCTGCTTTTGCTATCAATAAGATGGATGAATGGATAGATGGAGGTGCCCAGTAGCCTCGCCTCGGCTTGAGTCGGCATAACATAGCACTCAGTTTAAAGTCTGCAATGTATTAAAGCATTACATATTGAATTCAGCTCCCCGACAGAGCCAGATCTTGATTTTTTTTTGTTGCAAAGTTACATAAAAATGCTTGTACTGATAGGCAGCGCACTGGAGGGGATCCGTTTTATGCACATTAATGATTTACAGAATAGACATAGCTGTTAATGGGGGCATTTAGCTGACACTGTGATCCCTGCTCGATTCTTTCTATGGAGATAGGCCTTTCATTGCCTTTGTTTAATAATGCACAAAGCCATAGCAGATAGCGTTTAAGTGCATGTGTGCGCTTTTGTGTGCGTTGATTAAGACCCCCTGCCTGATCACGCTACCATCAATCTCGATAGCATTCAAGCACCGTAGTTTCAACACACCCATCATTTTGACCATAAAGCGCTCCATGTATCATATCATTGAACACTTGACGTGGAGCTTTCTGACCGCGGGGCGCCCTCCCGGTAACCGCTATCCGTATTTAGTCCCTCCCAGCATGCGAATTGGCAAACTCTCACAAGCTGGATGATACTAATTGTAGCAGGGGAGAGGGGTGGTTCTCACTTGGGCTCGCACACTTTGTTTTAATCAATAGGAGCAAATGAACAAGAAGCACTAATGCCAAGCAGGGCCAGTGCAATTACCATTAGTCTGCTGGCTCTTTGAGGTGATAGCAGCCATTCGTTTCAGAGTAATAAATACACACCTTGCGTTTGGAAAAGGTGGACGGGCACCCAAACTGTTATGACTTTGTAATTGAGAGGACTGCAGTTTCAACGCGGAGCAACATTTTATTTCTCTACCATTAAACTTCATGTAACCGTAAAATGACTCCGCACTTTCCTCCCATCTTAATTATGAGCTTCTTTATTGTCTAGACAGGAGGAAGACTTTGAACAGATTGTGGCGTCAGGTTAACCACATTATCTGTCGTCGCTTGCATACGGCTTTATTTAAGGCAATTACATCAAATCTTTTGGACGGCTTCCATTATTTGATTAATGCGACGCAGGAGTTGTCAAGGAGGCACTGTTCATCATGCTAAGTGGAAAAGCATTTCTAATCCTATTGTGATTAACAGGAGGAGAAGTGTCCTTTGAGGAGCAGCAGTCCAGATGACGGCATTTGCAGCCAGAGCTGGGGGGGAGATGATCCTTCAGGTAAACTCTTATAAACGCACAAACACACGCGTGAAAGGGAAATAATTTACATATATAGATGGATGGATATTTCATTTTTTTAATAATTATTAAACAAATATTTTGTGAGAGAGACCTTGAATATTTTGATGGACATTACAGATAACATGCATGTCGGTAACACTTGATCATTTGATTCATAATTATTTACTAACTTAATTTTTCATAAAAAAATGCCTAATATGCGTTTAAAAAATATTCAGCTAGATATCACCGACTCAATAACTTTTATGGTTATTACTTACTGATGAACAAATAACTGAATACTCATTACGATACATTTGTAAGTGTTAATAATCATTCACAAATTATTTACACCTGAAATATTAATGATTCAGAGTTAATTAATATAAACCTGTTCTACTCATTACAAAACTCAGTTACAAGTTTATAAATACATGAAATACATTTGAATTAGGGCTGAAACAATCATTTATTGAAATAGTCGACAACTATTTTAGTAATCGATTAATCGTTTTCTGGTTCACACGGACTCAAACAGAGCAAAAATGACATGAAAATGTAGTATTTTTGATTAAAACCGACTTTGTTTTTATAATTTCATGAATATCTGTCTGTCTCATCCAATCAGAGCAGGATTAGCACAAAGAGCCTGTTACAAACATTTACTTTAAGTTTATGCCATCAATACGTCCTCGAGTGTTGCCACTTTAGCTTTTTGTGATGAAAAAATATTTTTTTTCTATACAATTCACAGCCAAGCGATTACTCAATTAATCGTAAAAATAATCGATAGATTAATCGATTACAAAATAATCGTTAGTTGCAGCTCTAATTTGAATGAATATCTTATGTTTTACATTTGACATATAGCATTTTCTACTTATTCCTATTCTTTGTAAATGTTTATTAGACATTTGTTTATGATGAATTACTTATGTTTGTAAATTAATACTTAACAGTTATACAAACATTATAACACACTGTTACCTTTTATGTTTTATTCAATCAAACCAACATTTTTATCCAGCACTTTTCAAACACAATCAAACACAATCGCTTCACAGTTTAATAAAAAATTTACCCATCGACCCAAGACATTCTGTGGTTTCAGAGAAGGTGGTTCTTGAGCCCATTGCCGTTTGCCAAATCTGGAATCAATCTGGAAAAAAAACTTTCTCAGCAGTATGTCAGCATTGTTGTATACAGCTCACATGTTTACAATTGCATATAAAGGCAATTTTTTTGAGTAGAACCTTTTTTTCCTCAGAATCTAAATGATCTTCTTTAACTAAATTAGTTGCAACAAAGCAGACTCCTGATTACTTTTGAGAATTGAGCTTATTTGAATGTACATCTGTATCAAAGCACAGACCTAAATCACTTTACATTCTGTTTTCTTCATCGACTAAAAAGACGTAATCAAATCTGCACCGGTGACAGCACATCTCTCTTTGTTAGAAAATTATTCAGCCTGATGTGTGGCACCAGCCCATTTTACTTCTTCATGGATCCCAAAGTAAGCCGCCGGTTTTAACAGTAATGCAAAGCCAAGTAATTATGTATGAGAGGTCGGGAATCGATAATGGATGTGGTGAGTTCTGCAACACTGTCCAGATTGATTCACAGTGAGGCCGGGCTTCAGAACAGACGAGACCAAAGAATTATGTCCAGTGATTGGATCTTCCCTTTAAAGGTCAGACAGGTATGTGCTGATCACGGAGCGACTGAAGCAGCTGTAAATGTGCGGCGGACAAAGTGTAGGCACTGGAACAACCGACGCAAGCAGCTCATTCAATTGGGAACTTACTTGTGCGCCGGGAATGTTGTGTTTTCACCGGTTTGTTTGGGAGGCGGACTGCAAACATTCACAACGTTAGCAAAAACAATGTTGATGTTTAATAATACAGTCTCAGTGCACAGGGCTTTCATCCCCACCGCTGTCAGACTGTACTATGAGTCACTTAGCACTCCCAATTCTCAGCAAGAAGGTCCTGGGTTCGAATCCTGGTTGGTACAGGGCTTTTCTTGAGTGGAGTTTGCATGTTCTCCCCGTGCCTGCGTACTGTAGGTTTCCTCCGGGTGCTCCGGTTTCCCCTACCACTAAAAACATGCACACTAGGTTAAATCCTCCAGCTCTGGTCCTGACCAAGCCGAGCATCAACATCTAGAGATGGGTTCCTGGGCGCTGTTACTATGGCGACCACTGCTCCTGACGTAAGCCTTAGTGGCATCAGGATGGGTCAAATGCAGAGGATTGAATTGCCCTACGGGGACAATAAAGTGCACCTTTACCTTTAATGACCTGCCCTTGGACTGTTAACTCGCACTGATATTGTCACTTTTGAATTGAAGTTGTACATAAAATCCTGTTATTGCACAAAACAGACTGTTCACTCTGTTTTCACACCTTGATTGATCCTTGCAGACTCCTGATTACTTTTGAGAATTGAGCTTATTTGAATGTACATCTGTATCAAAGCACAGACCCAAATCACTTTATATTCTGTTTAGTTCATCGACTTAAAGACGTAATCAAATCTGCACCGGTGACAGCACATCTCTCTTTGTTAGAACATTATTCAGCCTGATGTGTGGCACCAGCCCATTTTACTTCTTTATCATGCCAAATGTGACATATATATTTCTCAATCATGAGATCAATAAAGTTTTATCTTATCCTAATGTAGTTTAGTCGTGCATGTGAATTTGTAGTTCTATAAATCTCATGTAAAAGTCAATACTAAACTTAATATTCAAGGCATAATCCAGTATGTTTCTGTGCTGTTTGTTTGAGTATTTTGTCTGGAAGCTAGTAACCCTGTAGCTTGGATTTTGTACAACCTGATAGTAGCCACATGTGTCCACAGGATCTTATCCCCTGTGACAGTAAAACACAGTGTGAATGACGGGGCTTTCAGACCGCCAACGCTGAAACGCTGAAGCCCCCTCACCAGACGCGCATTCTCTAGTTTTCAGACGCAGAGGACTTCACACCAGAACGTCCTGACTAGAGCCCGAAGTACCGGAAGTAGCCGGCTGGCTCTAATGCTAACAGAGCTATGCTAGCGGCTTCTTTTGTACAGATCTTCTCCAATATGCAGCTTTGCAGCGTGTCTTTGAACAGAGACTTTCCACGGGCTTCATATAACAGCAGTATGTGTTCACGGAGATGCGCCGTTTTTTCATATTATTAAACGGAATGTCCGCATCGGTGAACACATTCGAAGCAGTTGCATTAGGTCACGGGAGCATGACTACGCATATTTTCACAAGCACAGAGTCCCCCATTGTCAGCCCTGGTTTGAGTTCTGGTGAAGTCTGGTGTGGGTCCTGTTTTGGCTGTTTATGAGTATTTTCAGTCTGCTCACTCAGTCCGCTAATGTCCCCGTGACCACTTTGCTGCTCTCTGATTGGTTGTTGCACAAACGTTCCAAGGAAAGGATGAGCAGAATCCATCTCCTGTGGGCGTTCATTTTTCGCTCCTGCTCCTTTCCTTTGACTTTCCCGCCAAGTCCGTGCGTGTCTACTGAACAGTCCGTTCGTGCCGAGAGGTCCGTGCGTTGTGACGGTCGAACGCGCGCCACCGTAGACTTTGCATTGAAACCCGACGCAGCATGATCCGGTCTGAAAGCACCTTGAGTCAAGACTATTGGCCTCACAGCGAGAAGACACAGCGTTGGGCTCCTGGGTGTGAGGAGCCTTTGTGGTGAAGTTTGCGTGTTCTCTGTGAATGTTTAATCTGGTTTAATAAAAGGCCTCGTAATAGTAAATAATACAATGATTGTGTTTTAAAGTAAAAACACATGGACATACTGTTTCAAATATTGTGTAATACAGTACACAATGTTGTCAGTCATTGAACGGATGAAAGGATTTCCATTGCACCGCATCAGCACATTACTGCGGTGGCTGTTTAGTGTCGTTTAGTCGATGGTTTCTTAGTTGACCAGAAATTCCATCAGTCAACTAATATTTTGTCTAAATTATAAGGATTTGTATTGGAATGCAGCACAAATCAGAAGTCATCGTTCTCCCTGTTAACAATACTTTTTTTTTTTTAGATGGATATGAACGGCAAACTTCACCAGAGCATTTGATTTTTTTTAATTTGTTTTTTTTTTTTTTTTTTATTAACTTTATTACATTTTAATACAATTACAAGAATGAAAACATAAAAGAAAGAAATAAAACAAAATAATATTCGAAATCTAATATATACGGTTTACAAATACAGTAGGTGTTAAGGTGGGAGGGGTTGGGGGAGGGGGAGAGTAAAAAAAATAAAATACAATTATTCGGGTTGCGTTTTTTATTGTTTCAGTTATGCCTTGGTTTGCGGAGTTTCTGTATATGTATGTGAATGTGTATGCAATGCAGGGGTGCATAGGTGCTATGTCGAATGTGGTCAAATGAGTCTATATATTTTACTAAAAAAAAAAAAACTAAAAAGGGTTTATATACTATATATACACATCATCATCGCTATCACTATTATCATCGTCATTGCCACAATCATTACCCATTGCTAATTTTATCTTGCTGAGTTTTGGTGAAAAATAATAATAGTAGAATAAATTAGAATAATAATAAATAAATAATATTAACAAAAATAAACAAACAACAACAATTTTTGTTTGTTAACAATACTTAATTACAAACTTTATTTTTAGTGATTACTTTGCCTTTAGTGGTTTCTACTCACGAAACATGTCAAATGTTTCCTGAGTAGAGTTTAGCGCAGACAGTGTTGGGCACGTTACTTTGAAAAAGTAATTAGTTATAGTTACTAGTTACTTCTCCCAAAAAGTAACTGAGTTACTAACGGAGTTACTCCACTATAAAAGTAACTAGTTACCAGTAAAAGTAACTATTGCGTTACTTTTTCGTTTTGTTCTGGAACATAATGTGCACCCGACGTGCGCATTTTTACCTTTAACAGTGCCAATTTTCCATCTAGAAAAGGCTGTTTTGCTGCTGACGCCCTGTTCACTCTTCATCTCTCACTGTGCTGTAAAGCCCGCCACTGTGAATGTGGAAACACCGGTGACGAGCGGTGAGGCTGGTGAAGCACTGACTTCAGTCCAATCAGATGAACATATACATCATATAAATCAAGTGGACAATTTGTTTGGCTACAGCAAAATATGTTTTATGCCCGCATTGTTTGTTCATACAAAACGCAAAACTATGAGTTATGGGTCTTACCTTATAGCTATACCTTATAAATGACCTGCACAGTCCACTTCGGTTCAGACCAGTTCCTTGTTTAAATCCAGTGAATGGTTTGAGCGTAGATATGTAATCCTCCATTTGGAAATGAGTCCAATGAGTTTTAAAAAGTAAAACAAAACGCGTGTTTCCTCCGTAAACTCCTGTGTTTTGCTGCAGCCGGCTGCATCCAATTTCTAAAATCAACCGTCTTACACTTCACCTCTCTTTCTTATCATTCCTATAGTAATTGAAAAATTACCCTATGTGCATTTTAGATTATGTAAAAATGTGTTATATGTATGTTAGCCAAACCTGTTGCTGTCCTTAGCAGATAAACCAGGAAGAGCAAGGAGCTTATCGATGGAATTGTATGCAGCCGACTTCTGCGCTCACATGCGCTCCTCTGAGCCCTCACGGTGATAAAAGCCGTGGTTGAGTGTGATTAAGACCCATATTTGTTTCAAAAACACAATTTATGAGCCATCCTCTCAACTGTAGACATGTGGATTGTAAAGGAAATATGATTTACATCAGCCAATAATTGCTGAGAGGTTTTCTCATCCTTCTCTCATGACAACACGTTCATTGTGCGTCTTGAGTAACGCGCAGTAACGGGATGTCGGAAATGATAACGGCGTTATAGTTACTGTCAAAGTAATTAGTTAGATTACTCGTTACTGAAAAAAGTAACGGCGTTAGTAACGCCGTTACTAGTAACGCCGTTATTCCCATCACTGAGCGCAGATACATGATACTCGCCCCTTTTTGTTCAACTAATCCATGAATGAATGAATGAATGAATGAAGTTTTTTATTTTAATTTCAACGTGCACTTCAAAATCAATCAAAATGCTGTTTCTCATCAGATAAAATCAGTAGGATAAGTATTGAAACGACAACATTTCAAAGTCTCAAAACACTGCAAAAGATGACAGAATTAAAGACAAAAAAATGCTCAAATTTGGCTAAATGTATCTAAATATGAGCACAGTTTGACTGCCTTAAAACAAGATTTGCCAGTGGAACAAGAAAAATTGTTTTCTCTTGGAATGAGAAAATAAAGCAATAGTTCTTGAATCAAGTCAAAATTGCTTGTGTCATTGGCAAATCTCATTTTAAGACAGTCAGAATTAACTTAAGTCAAGTTAAAACAAACTCGATTCTAGCAATTATGATCTCATATTTGATCATTTTTTGCAGTGAACACAGTGCACATTCATTCTGGCCCCTATAGCAAATCATGAGTCATGGTATCAAGAGAATTGCAAATATAAAAACAGATTTCATTGTCAAAGATGACGGTGAGTCTGTTTCTGTTGTGGTTCTTGCAGCGTGTAATTCTGGTGCGGTTTTCTTGGCAGGCCTGACAGCGGTGAGTCAGCTGGTCCGCCGTCACGTCCCGGAGGCTGTCTTCTTAGAGAGCATCGGTCAGGAGATCACATACATCCTGCCCTACGCCGGCGCACGCAGCGGCACCTTTGGCCCGCTCTTTGGAGAACTCGACGCTGCCCTGGATGACCTCGGCCTCAGCAGCTACGGCATCTCCGACACCACGCTGGAGGAGGTGGGCTGAGCGTGGCGTCCGCAGACCGGCCAGAGATTAACACAGGCGTGCACGTATACTGGGACGCAGACGGGTCATAGGGTTCACGGGCTGTTTAGCTTTCTCAAAATGTGAAGGCAGAGAGGCAGTTTCTAGTGTGCCGCGCCGAAAGTTTTACAGGATTGAGTATAGACAGCACCCCTACAATGCATTAAAGCTGGAGTACCTAACTTCAAAACCACAAACACCATCTAAACTTAAACTGGACTGTTGGGACAAGCTAAATGTGTAAATGAATCAAAAATATGTCCAAATGCTGCGAAACAATACAATATTCTTGTTTACCCACGTGTGGAACCTGTGGATTTTCAATTTATGAGCCGTGCATTTCAAAGAGATAAGCTAAGATGAGATAATCCTTTATTTTTCCCACATTGGGGACATTTCAATGCCATTGTTCCGCACATTACAGCAGAATAAAAGCAGGAAATAGGGGCACTCAGATTGCACACATCAAACAGGATCTATTGTTTAAGAAAATAGCTAATATATAAGATAGTAAGATAATACATCACACTGTAACAGAGTAAAACATAACAGTTAACTACAAACCAGGACATAGGACACTGGGGCTCTTCTTGGGCTGCATCCAAATTGCTTGTATACGTCATTCCTTATTCTTTACTCTTGACGTTGTATGAAACAATGTGTGTCCGGGTTTTGTCAAACTAAATGAAATACCCTTTTGAACACGTGTTGATGCTATATATGATTTTTGATTCCTACTATATTTAAAATGAGCATAAAAGACATGGAAGGTAGGAGGTGCATGTGTTGAATTTGGATGCAGTCATGTCCTTTACAGAAATTCTAAGTGAAAGCGTGTGTTCTCTGCGACCGTGAGACAGAAAATCGTTCCAGATTATCCTTAGATCCGTGGTCTGTGTCACGACTTAAAATGTCACGAGACAAGAAGTCCTGTGGTCTGTAGCCAGCTTAACTGATACAAATATATACAATAGATTATCAGTTAAAAGCTTATTTATTGTTTCAGTAGACATAACACACAATTGTCATTATACAGTAGGTCATCCAAATTACTACATGGTCTGTTGATGTTGATATCTAGTGGTTTATTCTACTGCACCTTATTTAAGTTTCACATAATACAAATTCATAGCATTCCAAAGCTTTTCAACTTCACATGAGTCACGCTAATTATGGCATTGCATTCCCCTCCACTCCCCTGCACTGCGCTTCTGTTTAACTTCGCCATAATTAATTTGACATGGTACATGCTATTAGTGCTATGATTACAGTGCATTTTCAGTCAGCGTCAGAGTCTCGCATTTGTCATGGGTGAGATTTGGCGTGCTCTTACCGTTGCCGAGGTCATAAGCTGAGTGAATGTTGTGGCTAATGCTGCTCTTGTAAAGCCATAGACTGTAAATATTAACAAACATAGTCACGCCTATCTCCGCCGTTCTAACTAATGGGCCAAAAATTGGGCTTTCATGGAGTGATTCAAAATGGCCGCGGGGGCTGGAAAATGTGAAAAAACACATCTGTGCATGCGTCAGCTGCACAAGCCCCATTCATTTAAACGAGTGACTTCAAAAGTCCACAGCGACTAAACTAGACTGGTCCAGAACACTCAGCATTGACACACATGTGGAACGGAGCTTTGGGCCAAGAGCCAACTTTTGGTCCATCCTGTAAAGATGTTTTCGAGAGGTAAGAAGATGCTATATGTTAGCATTGGCTAATTCTTATTCCGGGTCCACCCCCACAGGCCCGGGGTGGCACGTCATTTTGGCCATTTTTGACCCGGGACCCGCCCCCACTGTGTAAAGCAGACGTGAATCAGACCGTGGCAGACCGTGGCAGGCCGCAGGCGTCGTGAATAATTCCTTCTGAATGTCAAACTCTCAACACGACTCCGCTTCTCTGCTCTCTTTTTGAAGTCTGACCGTTTTGTACTTGAAATAACAAGATGTAATTGTGTTTAATGCATAGTTTTTTTGTAAATAACAACAGGGTATTAAAGCTGGGGTACCTAATTTGAAAAGCCTAAAACATTTAGTTTGAAGAACTACATGTAGCTAGTTCCTCGCTCTCGAAACAGTTTGGTTCTTTCACAAGTTTCCAATTTTTTTTGGCTTTTGTCACATCTTTTGATCAGCTTTTCCAGACTCTCAGCCCCAACGCATCAGTTAGTGACACTTAGGGCTCTTTCTTATGAGTATGCAACCAATAACATGATTTCTGATAGCATGAAGACAGCATGTGGGAGTTCTGTTCAGACAAACTAGTATTATTATTGAGAAAGAAAATAAGGTACCCCAGCTTTAAGTGAAACCTTATTCAAGCAAAAGCAATTGTGTTTTTATATATTTTCGATAATCTTTAATTGTACTGACATCAAAACTACACTGTCCAAACGAAAAAAAAGGACGATTTTGATTTCACAGCAGAGCACTGTAGAGAACCCAACATGAAGAAATGATTGAAAACTTAAAAACAGAGAGGTCAGAGGGAGTTATTTTGACACATGGCCCTAATTTAATAAATAAACTTGTGAGCAGTGAGAATTTCTTTGCTCATTTGGTAAATTCTCAAGCAAAGGTTAGCGTGTCAGCGGGGAATTTCTAAGTTCACCATCATCAAGTAGGGCGGCACGGTGGCTGAGTGGATAGCACTCTCGCCTCTCAGCAAGAAGGTCCTGGGTTCGAATCCCGGTTGGACCAGGGCCTTTCTGAGTGGAGTTTGCATGTTCTCCCCGTGTCTGCGTAGGTTTCCTCTGGGTGCTCCGGTTTCCCCTACCACTAAAAATATGTACAATAGTTCTGGCATGTGCCTCATGTACTGGCGACCCCGCTCCCATCTCTGTGTGGAGTGAGAGACAAATGCCCAAAAATTAACAATTGTAAACCGCTTTGAGACTCAGATCTGCAGTGAAAAGGCGGTATATAAATAAAAACTTACTTACTTACTTACTTTGCTCATTTGGTAAATTCTCAAGCAAAGGTTAGCGTGTCAGCGGGGAATTTCTAAGTTCACCACAATTCTGACCCACACTGGAGAAAGTCAAAGCACAAGTCGACCTTTTTTTTCAAATTTGCACTGAATTGGTAGAACTGATTTATTATGATTTTCTGCGATGTGCCCCCGCGCTTTCACTCATCCATCATGTGTTGATTCTTACAGATTTTTTTGAAAGTGGCCGAGGATTCTGGAGTGGATGCACAAACACCGAGTGAGTTATAACGTCTTGCATTCTCCTGCAGAAAAAGCCAGAAGCAATGGCAGATGCAATTAACCCGAGGTCTTGGCACAATTCAATATCTACTGGTGTTTTATTTGGGGGTGTATCTTCTGCTCGTATGATTCAGGATTAAGATTAGATGAGAGTTCCTTATACGTCGCACAGTGGGGAAATGTCAGTGTTGCAGCGCACATACAGGACAGTAGTAAGAGCACGCAGGGAGCTCACGGAAAACACGCATAATACAAAATAAGTGGTAAAGTAGTAGCTATGTGTCCTGGGTTCTAATCCCAGTCGGAACAGGGCCTTTCTGAGTGGAGTTTGCATGTTCTCCCCGTGTCTGCGTAGGTTTCCTCCAGGTGCTCCGGTTTGCCCTACCACTAAAAACATGCTCACTAGTGTAAAAACCCTCCAGCTCTGGTCCTGAACCAAGCCGAGCATCAAACATCTGGAGATGGGTTCCCGGGCGCTGTTACCACGGCGACCACTGCTCCTGACGTAAGCCTTAGTGGCATCAGGATCTGGGTCAAATGCAGAGGATGAATTTCCGTACGGGGACAATAAAGTGCACATTTACATTTATATGCCAATGTCTTTGCTTAAATCCACCTGGTTTATCTTCAATATACAGAATCTAACTTTTAAAACACTGGACAACTTACTTTTGTTGTAACATTGTCATACTGATTTTATTTTTTTCCTTTGTAGCAAGTGGTGAACCTCAGTCTCACTCAAACATAATCTCAGACTTTTACTGTGACGGGTCCCAATTAGTTTGCATAGTTATTCAGTGAGTCATGGGCTGAAAAAAACAGTTTTCATAATGGGATTTTTAGAGTGAGTGGAACAAAGGCATAAAGCCGTTCTGAATAAGTTCTGTGTGTTTTTGTGATCCCAGTGATCTCTTTCGCTCTCTCGTTCACCGACTTTTTTGTTGTTCTGTATTGATTGACCCGAGCCGATGAATAGCGCTTTCTTGTTTTTTTTATGCTCTTTATTTTCCCCCAAAAGAAAAAAAAAAAGTTTAAAAGAGGCATATTGTGCATTGTTTTAGTATGATGTAATTGTACCACGATGACATCACACTCAAAGTTTTCTGCCTTTTTACTCTGACTCCAATCTATAATTTTTGGCATTTTTCTTCACAATCACATTATTATGTTTACACAGAGATAGCTCTATTTACCCTTGATACTTGTTTCACCCTATGAATACTTAATACAAAATAAAATATATAAAAAAAAAAACAGGTTGGTACCATTAGAAAATATTTTAAAAGGCTTACAAATTTCCCCTTTACAAAGTGGCTTTTAAAAAACCAGATCTATTTTAAAACCATACAAATACTGTTTACGTGACGTATGTAGCGCGCCCGAGTGAGTCGTTAGCATTTAGCATTTAGCCGCTAACTGAGCCCGTTAGCGCCACAGTCTTTTCCAGCGATTACATTTGCTAAACATTCCTCTTGCTCCGGCTTCAGTTTCTTGATAGAACCAGACCGGAATACTTTACTATCGCATTTTTCGCCAAACTACAACCTGAACGTTCGACGCAAACTCTTGACGTCACCCACAACTAACTACAACACCCGCCTCCCGCGCTCTCTGATTGGTCGGTCAAAATTCAGCCAATTGTATTTGCAAACCCAGGGACCAGACCCAGACGTTACATGCAGTGAAATGATGATTGAGCGGAGAGTACGGATGGATAAGGCCAGGCTAGAATAGTACAACATATTTGTAGATATCCGTTTCTTCATATAATAATAATAACAATAATAATCTCCACATGTCGCATAATCAATCAATCAAAGTTTATTTGTAGAGCGCCTTTCATACACAGGGCAACACAAAGCGCTTCACAGTCCACATCACAAATAATCACATAAAACAAACACCAGAATCACAATTAAAACATTAAAATCACACAAAATATTAAAACCATTAAAACTTTCAAAATTACACAAGAAAAAAAAAAAAAAAAAAACAAAAAAAAAAATGACAACAGTGCATTAGAAATGGAGATAAAATCCTTCAGTTGTAGCACAGGCAAACAGAACAGTCTTTAACCTGGATTTGAACGTTGACAGAGTAGACGCCTCTCTCACATTTTCAGGGAGATTGTTCCAGATCTTAGCTGGGCAAAAATAATGTGTAACACTTCTTCTTTTAGGTTTTGTTTTAGCCACTGTTCACACCTGGCTTTGTGCTTTTACATGGAGCCGTATAGAGCAGCACTAACAGAGCAGGGAGCCATTCTTGTTGTTATTTATATCCCCAAAATGGGTCAGGCCATAACTACATATCTTATTTGTAATTCCCCAACGCAGCCAAAGAGAAGGCGCCGGTACGAGACTTAAAGGGGAGTTCTCGTGAATCCAAACGCAGAAGTGTGTCCAGCATCCACAGTGCAACACAGAATGGGATCAATGGCAAGTCAAACCTGTTCCCCCCCCCCCCCCCCCCCCCCTAACGCCCAAACATGTATTTTCTATGAGACTTATAGTTTTCTGTGTTTGCTCTTGATCAGGTTTAAAAGAAAAGTTTTCCAGTAAAGTTGAAGGTAAGTAAAATATGTATTTGTGCCGAGAGTACAGTTCTCAGGCTTTAGTATGAGTAAAAATGCGCCTTTGAAACAGTGGTACCTTCTTAATACTTAATACTAATACGTTGTTCGGAGGTTTCAGAATTGTTGAAAAAAAAGTCCTTGTATTTTGTTTGGATATGTTTTTTAATGTTACGAAACTGATTTTATACGTTTTGTTGCTTTTATTTTATTTATATAGACTTTATTAAGGACTCGCATGCAAGCACAGGATCCATGGCTAAGGATAATAGAAATGTTTTTTCAACCAGGATTTGATGCATTATCACTTAGTTGGTCAAGATAATGTGAAAAACAACAGAGTGAGAAGATTGCAGAGATTTGTTTTCCGCTTGATTAATTTTCTACAGTCATAATCAAATGTGCCCAATTTGATTTAAATAATTCTTGCACACTTTCTGATACAAACTTCATTTTGCAAATATCTCTGTCTCTTATATGATGTATTTAACTGAAATGTCTTATCCAAACAGCTAAAGATTTACGAAGCAAAATAATAAAAATTAGGTGCCCAAATGTTTTTGTAGCCCTGTATATGCTAAATTATGGGAATGATTTTGCATTGCAGGTACTATGAAATAACCCTGCACGTTGTCTCATTTGCTTGCTAGCACATTAGCATTAACCCCTACCCCATGTTTATCTCTTCAGTTCAATTCAATGTATTCTTGTGTAGCCCTAAATCCCAACAATAGTTATCTCAGAGGACTTTACGAAACAGTTGAAATCGCCGAGACAGATCAGAGAATCAACAGTTCAACACAAGATATGCAATGAGGAACACATACAGCCCTTGGTCCTTGAGGGGCAGATGACCAATGTCCATAGATGTTATTGAATGTCCTGGATCATGACCACTGCAGGCTTTAAATAAAAAAAAAAACAAAAAAACATATAATTAAGCCAATCAAAAATTACGTCGTTCACCGACTTTTTTGTTGTTCTGTATTGATTGACCCGAGCCGATGAATAGCGCTTTCTTGTTTTTTTATGCTCTTTATTTTCCCCCAAAAGAAAAAAAAAAAAGTTTAAAAGAGGCATATTGTGCATTGTTTTAGTATGATGTACTTGTACCACGATGACATCACACTCAAAGTTTTCTGCCTTTTTACTCTGACTCCAATCTATAATTTTTGGCATTTTTCTTCACAATCACATTATTATGTTTACACAGAGATAGCTCTATTTACCCTTGATACTTGTTTCACCCTATGAATACTTAATACAAAATAAAATATACAAAAAAAAAAACAGGTTGGTACCATTAGAAAATATTTAAAAAGGCTTACAAATTTCCCCTTTACAAAGTGGCTTTTAAAAAATCAGATCTATTTTAAAACCATACAAATACCGGTTACCGTGACGTATGTAGCGCGCCCGAGTGAAAAAAACAAAAAACATATAATTAAGCCAATCAAAAATTACGTCCGACTTCAGAAATCCCACATCGGTCTACGTCTCGTACATAGCCAGAAAAATCACACCCCGTTTAAGTTGAGTGCGTACGGCAAGATGACATCAATTCTCTCATGACGTTTATATTGTACACGGCCCCCCCCCCCCACACGCCCGGTGAAAGCACACTTGCCGCCACATTCACCATTTGGAATTACTTATTAGCGGCCATTATCTGTCTCAAACACGTGTATAAATGACAAACACTCTTCTCTGAATGTCCGCCGCAGACCTCCAGAAGCAGGGGAGCGAAGGTGGGCGTGGCTCTACGGTTATCGGCGGGTGGAGCCTGATCAGGAGGCAGTTCTTGGCGCTGTTCATCAAGCGCTTCCACCACGCCCGCAGGAGCCGCAAGGGACTCATCGCGCAGGTAATGGCCCCTGTCTGTCACTCTGATGAATCTGAGGGCTTAGGGTACTGCCGCTTCACCGGGGACATCAGCACGCCATTGTACCAAATACACCTGGCCTTTCAAAATCAATTAATGACACGTATGATCGAGGAAGCTAATTTGAGACCTGCGGGGAGCAAGTCACGTCGTTCGTCTTGGTGCCAGGTTGAGGTTAAAGTAGTAGCAGTAGTAGTTAAAGAAATACAAGTTTACAGATTGATGTGATGAGGTTTATGAAGAAGGCAAGGTAAGTTTTTTTTTGTATGGCACAGTTCATACACAAGGCAACTCAAAGCGCTTAACAAAATAAGATAGAAACATTCAAACAAGGCATTGAAATTATGAATATTCACAGTACATTAAGAAAGTGAAGATGCAATTGTTCAGTTGTATCGTTGAACATTGTCACATTTTCAGGGAGACTTTATCAGATTCAGGCAGCATGAATCTGAAACGCTGTCTCATGTTTAGTCCAGTCTTCGGGCACCCGCATGAGTCCAGTCCCTGTGCTCCTCAGAGTCCCAGCAGGAGTCCAGTCCCTGTGCTCCTCAGAGTCCCAGCAGGAGTCCAGTCCCTGTGCTCCTCAGAGTCCCAGCAGGAGTCCAGTCCCTGTGCTCCTCAGAGTCCCAGCAGGAGTCCAGTCCCTGTGCTCCTCAGAGTCCCAGCAGGAGTCCAGTCCCTGTGCTCCTCAGAGTCCCAGCAGGAGTCCAGTCCCTGTGCTCCTCAGAGTCCCAGCAGGAGTCCAGTCCCTGTGCTCCTGAAAGTCCCAGCAGGAGGCCAGTCCCTGTGCTCCTGAAAGTCCCAGCAGGAGGCCAGTCCCTGTGCTCCTGAAAGTCCCAGCAGGAGGCCAGTCCCTGTGCTCCTGAAAGTCCCAGCAGGAGGCCAGTCCCTGTGCTCCTCAGAGTCCCAGCAGGAGTCCAGTCCCTGTGCTCCTCAGAGGCCATGGAGTGACTTGTACAGAAGCAGAGCTGCTTTAAAGTCTGCTCGTGTATAAGACATTTTATCTAAAAGAGAATGAAGAGATTTCTACTACTACTTTTACTCTACTACTTTTTAGTCTGAATGAACATGAAATAAGCTCAAAATACTGTTTCTCAAAATAATGCATGTGTAATTTTACAAACAAAGGTAAATAATTTTCTGCATTTTTGTAATCGGTAAACATCGGGAGAACAATGCACACACGGGACATTTTCCTGCTGACTGAAATGCCTAATAAAATGGTTTATAACATAGAAAAAAATAAAAAAAATGGTTGATAGAATTTAACATTTGGTTTCAATCTTCATGCGTTCATGATGTTTAGCATGTCTGGATTTATAACTTTTGAAATACTCCAAAATGAAACCCAGATACTGTTATGTCTGTATGTCTGTCGGCCGGATTTCACAAAATACAACTTAGATTCAGATTCATTTATTTGCCATTTGCAGTAAAACCACATTGGAAAAACTGTGCAAGACTACCCCAGTGTGCACCAGACGACACACACCAGAGCTCTTGCCACGGCGCCATCTTTACGGCGCCATGCGACAAACAGTAGAATAAACAGCAGAGAGCAGTAACACACATATTTTCAAACAAACATGGGAGAGACACAGTACATGTGGAAAACATGCAGATCTTTTTAATGGGAAGTCATCACTCTGACCCGCCTCGTCCAATATAGCGCGTCAGAGGGGAGTGTGGGTGGGGGAGGTGGAGGGGAAGACCACCGTAGACTGAAAAGAGAGGGAGGCAGACATGTAGAAGGGGGGGGGGGACTGTAACTGGTGTTCTGGGTTGTGAGTCTGAGTTAGATAGAGTAAGTAAGTAAGTTAGTAAGTTTTTATTTATATACCGCCTTTTCACTGCACATCGGAGTCTCAAAGCGGTTTACAATTGTTATTTTTGGGAGCGGGGCCAGTACAGGAGGCACATGCCAGACCTATTGTACATATTTTTAGTGGTAGGGGAAACCGGAGCACCCGGAGGAAACCTACGCTGACACGGGGAGAACATGCAAACTCCACTCAGAAAGGCCCTGGTCCAACCGGGATTCGAACCCAGGACCTTCTTGCTGAGAGGCGAGAGTGCTATCCACTCAGCCACCGTGCCGCACCGAGTCCAGTGTCAGCCTTGAGTGGCCGATGTGTGGGTGGTGGAATGTGAAGGACAAAGATAGCGCAGGTGCAAACATTGGAGACAAAACAACACATGCCTTGTGGGAAATTTGTATAAGCACTTTTAGCTGATCAAAGGCAGTGTAAACTAAAGCCAATATGTCCAAATTATACTGGAACTGGACCCTCCGTTCACCGTTATCCGGAGTTGACCACGTCAGTACGAGGTTCCACCGTGAGGCCCAAGTCCTTCAATCAATCCTTCCAAGTGTTTAAGTCCATCCAAAGATCTCACTCCCAGATCTGAAAGGGAATGTTCGATCCGACTCACACCCCGTTGTGTCCCCACTGTGCCCTCGACCACGACTCTGACCAACTCGCGGAAACTCTCCTTGTTTTCCGCGGACAGCCGCTCGTAAATCTTCTGAGTGGACAGCCCTCCAACTTTGCGGTAGATCAAGCCAACTCCAAATCCAATCAGGAGGAACCCTGCTACCATAAATCCAAAAATGTATATATCCTCAATGTCCTCGATGGACAGTCACGACAGACAAACGGGGTGCCACTTTTGCCAGTTGTCAAAAACGTACCCAGCAGCCGCCGTACCCTCCGGGCAAACGGCATCTCCAGAACCGCCTTTACGTGATGAAAAAATAGTATCATTTGCGTTGAGGGACCAGTTGATTAATTCCATCATTTTTTTCAAGTTGTACACAGGCAGAGCACTAGGAAAAAAGACAATCAGGGCAAGAGCAGGAGCAAGAGACACGTCTGACCTCGAGGAGAGCAGGAGGCGAAGATCCTCTCAACTTAACAAATTGTTGTGTACTGTACTTGGAAAACCCTGTTCTAATTTTGGGACAAACCAGATTCTTTGGCGGGGTATGCGCTTTCCGGGTGAATGTTCTAGTTTCAATAGAAGATTACAAAACACAATACGAGAATGAAGTATGCATTGATCAGATGAATGCAGCTAAAATGTGGAACAGTCTTCCTGAAAATGTGAGAAAAGCGTTTTTCTCTGACCATGTACAAATTCGGGTTAAAAACAGTTCTCTTTAGCTGCGCATACAACTGAGGAATTGTAACTTTATTCTTTGTGTTGCCTTGTGTATGAACTGTGCTACACAATTAAACTTGCCTTAGACTGCTGTCTGGGTAAAGCCAAAGGTAAAGTATTTAGATTGACACAAGCATTTTCTTAATTAACACTTACATTAACGCTACATATTCAGCGCTCATGTCTGTCTGTGCATTGTAATGATGTAAAATTGCTCACATAAAAGCAGTTTTAGACGGTACCGTGAACACAATTAACACAAACTCTGCACAGTTTACACCCAAAGTACCCTCTTTCATTAAATCGCAACTTCACAGTGAGCGCTTCACCTTCTCCCGCTCTGCCCGGGACACCTGCTGCTGTTAGAAAACCTGTCACCTGTTTCTGTGATTGACGCCAGCACCGGGAATGTGACACGTGTGATTAGCTTTCCCTTCACTTTAGCCACATGCTAATCACGTCGCTTCATTATTTGTATCACACAAACGGCTGCGAGGACGACATGCCGCTGTTCGAATCATGTCTCCATTATTTTGTTTCTTGCCAACATAATCCCGAAAGTCAAAATCAATAAATAATAATAATTGGATGAGCCAGAGCCAATTTGTGTAGATGGCAATTTATTCTCAAAAGTTCAGCTACATACTTCATAAAACTAATTGATTTTTGGATAAATGTCAAGTTTGGTTATGACGCGTGGTATGAATTCATGGTGTGTGGGATCATTAGCTAAGTTCGGCGGAAGAGAAAGAGCAAGATGGCGCATGGATTTGTCTTTCTGTGCAAAGCAGTCGCAGCAATCACTCAAAAATCAAAACAAATAGTTATGATATACTAATAATAAATGCTAATTATCCCTTTACTTCATTATATATGAACACAAATCACTGTGTATTTAGATATGTTGACAATAACTCAATTTCATCTTGGCTTTGGAGATAGAAAAACAAAAATAAAAACAGTTTATGTCAACGTAGCCTTGTCTGCTTATAATACTATAATACTAAAAGTAATCCATCCATCCATTTTCTTCCCCTTAATTCATCTCAAGTAAGTAATGTTTATTTATATAGCGCATTTCACAGACCAAGGTACAGACCCAAAGCACTTTCCAATGTTCAGAGTCAGATATTGTTCCAATCCTTCCACACACGGTGATGACAGAAGCGAGTCCAGAACACACTGGACCATCAGCTCCAACACCATCATTCACTCTCTCATTTACATTCAGACCTACTGTGCATGTTTTTAGTGGTAGGGGAAACCGGAGCACCCAGAGGAAACCTACGCAGACACGGAGAGTACATGCAAACTCCACTCAGAAAGGCCCTGTTCCGACTGGGATTCAAACCCAGGACTTGTCTCATTTGAGAGATATTTTGCTATTTATTTGAAGATAACAGTTTTTCAAGCACTCAACAAGATGATTAAGATTAAAATAGTTAAACATTGTTGAGCAGCTATAAACAGAGGATTTGGACAATATTTATGTTTGAGAATCTCATCTGAAGTGTTAAAAGCCAACTGTAAAACTGAGGAACCAGTATGTGCATCAGTAATTATAGTGTGTGACCCGGATCAGCTCCATCGAGTCATTGAGAGGGTAAAAATGTTCTCCAGCATCCTCCAGCATTTTTTTGAGATGTGTTTCTTACGAACAGAAAAACGCTCTTGGGCAGTTAGCAGCAGGGGTTAAATCAGCAGCATTAGGATATCATGAATTAGCAGAACTAGAAAATCACCCGTAGACCCATTTCTTTAGAATATATCCTGCATAACCCTAACCCTGCATTCAAAAGTAAACCAGTGGTAAACAG